CCAGGAGTCCACTCAGTAGCAATGGGTTGTGGTTCGGTTGTGATGCCAGATGTATTCCCTAAGTGCCAAGGGGTTAATGTGTTTGGCTGCTAATTGAAAGGCTTGAAGTTCAAGTCTACACATTGGCTCCTTGGAAGAATGGTTTATCTGCTGCTGAAAAATCAGCCATTGAAAGAAAACCCTACAGAACCCACTTCTATTCTGGCTCAGAGATGGCATTCCCACAAGTGGGAATTTAAAGCGCTGAAAAGCAACACGCTTGCTTTGAGGACTGAAGTGGGCCTGATCCAAGCCATGGTGTTTTAACTGCCTCATATGCGTGTGAAAGTTGGACATTGAATGAGGAAAACCAAAGAAGAATGGATGTGTTTGAATTATGGTGCTGGCCAAACACATTGAAAGTATCGTGGACTGCCAAAAGACCAAACAAGTCTGTCTTGGAAGAAGTACAGCCAGAATGCTCCTTAGAGGCAAGGATGGTGAGATCTTGTCTCCTGTACTGTGGGCATGTTGTCAGAAGAGACCAGTCCCTGGAGAAGGACAGCATGCTTGGTAGAGGGGCCGGGAAAAAGAGGAAAGCCTTCAACCAGATGGATTGACGCAGTGGCTGCAACAGTGGGCTCAAACCTGAGCACCACGATGAGGTTGGAGCAGGCCTGGGTGGTGTTTTGTTCTGCTGTGCACAGAGTCGCTGTGAGTCGGAACTGGTTCGACTGCACCTCACAACAACAACAACAACATGAGTAGGAGTCAACACTGACGTTGGCTTGGGGTACTCCAGAGACTTCGCTTGATACTACAAAATGGACTCGAATGTTGCGAGCTTCTGTCCTCCCAAGAGTCTGTGTGCAGGCAGCTAGGAAGTTAGTCATCGAACTTGTACTGGACGTGGGTGACTATAGGGTCATATAAGCACACAGCACCTTGAGATGATACCTGACATTCCTCGAGCCCCATCACGGTGCTTGCCACTGGTGAGAGAGCCCCACTCTCAGATTTAAAGCGGGATACTCACGTCTTCCCAGGCCAGGCACCGTGCACAAGTGTAAAGGTATTTCTTCCCCTAGCTGTTCCCACGGAGCCTGGATGGGAACGTTTCCCTTGTTATGATCTCTAGAGACAAGCAGACCATTTTACCCCCGTGGCTTACTTCACTCCACACGCCTGACAAGATGCTCCGTGATCCCTCAGCACCAGGCTCGGCCCTCGGTGCAGTGCACCACCGTTTATTAGCATCACCTTGCAGAAAGTTCACCCGGACGTTTGTCGGGTCAGGAAGTAGGAGAGGTTGATGCCCACAAGAGACTTCAGTGGCTCTGCCCAGGCCAGAGGCTACTATGGTTTTAAATGACGATAAGCCAACAGAGGAAGTGAGTGTGGAAAGCCAGCCTTGATCCCTTGTCTCCCAAGGCTCTTCCCCGGAAATACAGGTGTTGTCATTTCCCTCTGACGCATGGTAACCGCATGTACAATAGAATAAAATCCTGTGGCATCGCCATGACTAATGACAGACCACACTGTGGAGATCCACAGGGTTGGTTGTTTCTGCTTTGCTACAGAATTATAGAAACCTTTTTAAAGTGAAAATATCAATATGTGAAGCTATAGTTTCTCCACATATTTTGCACCTAGGTCTTTACACTTCTTTAAAAAAAGTATTGGCATATGATTCTGTACCATCCAATGCAGCTTGAAGCTGCACATCCCTTGGGCTTCCCAGCGCTCACTGCCCGCTTCTTCCCTCCGCTTTCCAGGTTGGCTCCATCCCTGCCAATGCTGCAGACGACGGCCAGTGGTCCCAGGGGCTGATTTCTGCCGTGAGTGTCCTTTCTCCCCCTTTGCTTTGTGGATCCTTTGGGGGAGGCTCGGGCCTTGGCTCACTGCTTTGTTGGCCATCCCCAGGCCCGAATGGTGGCAGCAGCGACCAGCAATCTCTGCGAGGCAGCCAATGCCTCGGTGCAGGGACACGCCAGCGAGGAGAAGCTCATCTCATCCGCCAAGCAAGTTGCTGCTTCCACGGCTCAGCTGCTTGTGGCCTGCAAGGTGAAGGCCGATCAGGACTCAGAGGCCATGAGGCGGCTACAGGTAATGGTCACTGATGCTGGTGGGAAAATACTTCTCTTGGAGCGGGTAAGTGTCGCGTTCCCTTGGTCTGACCCACCAGGCCCGCCATCAGCCAACCTGTGTGCCACCTTCCAGCTTCATCTTCTACCACGTGCTTCCATGTATTGTCACACCTCTGCCCCACTAAACTGGCACCCTCCACTTGAACCATCCGCCTTCATGCCTTGCAGTCTCCACGGCAGGCGCAAGTCCACCTAGATTATCCCAGCTCCGGCCCAAGCTGGTCAACTCCTCCTTGTCCTTTGTGGCTCATCGCCCCCGTCGCCTCTTCTGGGAAGCCTTCCCTGATGCCCAGGCCTCGGGCAGCCAGTCCTTCCTCTGTCCTGCCAGGGCCCTCAGCCACGGCATTGAGATGGATGTCCATCTTTGAGTAGGCCATGAGCTCCTTGGGTGCAGGTGGCACATGTTCATCTGGGCAGCTCTCACACCCAGCCTGGTGCCTGGTTCAGAGGTGGGCCTCCTTCACCGGTGCCTCGAGAAGGATGTGAAAGGCCCGAGGATGTAATAGGAGGCACTTGCCCAGGTTTCCCAAAGCCTAAAGAATATGCTGGTGACGGTGACAAATGTACCTTCCCCAATTGTTTCAATGATTAAAAAAAAATTATAAACACAATGAAGGAAATGTTTGAGAGCAAAGTCACATAGCCTCAACATCTTCCCACATCATCAGACACTTGCGATTTTTTTCTCTTCCTGTTTTGAATCTGTACACAAAGACAAGTCTGCCTGGCGGTAATCACAATGGGATGGGCCCTGCTTTTCTTCACATAACATTTTATCCTACTTATTTTTGTCCCTTCCGTGGATAAAAACAGCTTCATAATTTCTCTGTGCAAAGCTAACTGGTTCATCCTTCATAAGTCTCATTTTTAAAGGATTGCATGATTATTATATCAAGTCACTAAGTCATAATTATCCTGTTTTTGAATATTGCATATTTAAGGATTATCTGGATTTTTATTGCTCTAAGTATTATGATGCAGAATACTTTTATTGCCTGCTAGTGTACAGTGAGTAAAGTGATAAATAGCTGAAACGCTTGGGCAATTTTACCAGGGCAGTTGGCGCTAGTTTTATTTTCAAAGTCACGGCACATTTCTGTGTGTAAGTCCTCCTGAATCTCTCCCTGACCCACCTTCCCATCTGCAGCCGACTCTTGGGAAAGTCCCGCAGGATGTGAGGAGCATATAGGTGACTCTGTGGCTTGCGGGTAGTGGGAACACTTCTGAGGACCATATCACAGGCTAAGCACAAAACCAGGGTTCAAGTCCTGCCTCTTACAAGTATTTTCATGACCTTATAGAACTGTCTTACGACTTGTCAGGCCTCAATTTCTCTGTCTGTCAAAGGAGGGGAAGCGAGGCACACAGCCCTTCTGGAAGTCACATAGGATTATGGATGTGACAATTCTTGTTTCCACAGATGATGGCTAATTATCAGTGCTTAGAATATGAGATATGGAAACGAAGGATCAGCCGTGGGAAAAGAGGACACTGGTGACAGAAATGACACAGGAAATCCTATGATATGGTTTTTGAAAGACCGATGAGCTCTTCTTTGCAAATCCTTTCTGTGTGCAACATCAACAGCAGCCTCAGTGGATGGAGTACCCAGAAATCAAATTGGTGACATTTGTGGGGAGCAGATATGGGGGACTTCAGTACAGCACTCAGAACAAGGCCAGGGACTAACTGCAAAACAGACCTTCAGTTGCTCGGAGCTACAGGTTCAAGTTGGACCGGAAGAAAGAAAATAAAAAACGATCTGTCACTGAGTTGATTCTGACTCCTAGCAGCCCTGTAGGACAGAGTAGAACTGGCCCGGCGGGTTCCAGAGACTGCAACCCTTTCTCCCACAGAGTGGGGGTGGTTTTGAACCGTGCACCTTGTGGTTAACAGCCCAACACGTAACCACTACATCACCCGGACATCGAAAATAAGTCCACAAGACCCAAAATGTAACTTTGAGAATATTCTGCTCTAATTCAGAGACCATCTCCAGAACAGATTTGATGCACCAAACACTGAAAACCCGAAACCGGAGGAGTTGCAGGATGATCGCATCGATGCGATCAAAAGGTTATTCAAACAACAACAAGCTGTAAAAGAGACTCGCCCTTGAACACAGAAGGGAAAGGGAGAAATGATGCAGCAAAAACC